TTCCTTGGCTGGGGCCAGGACTCCCCAGTCACATGGCCCTGCTAACGCCAGGGGTTGCTGCCTGGGGCTGGGGCAGGTACTCTCCAGATGCCTCCTGACTCAGCCAGCACTCCCCAGCCCCTCCGTTGCTCCAGGGCTCTTCGGTCCAGCAACATCGTTGGCCCTGCCGGACCTCAGATGTTGCTCGACCAGAGAGTCCCAGATTTGGGAGGTTCAACCTGTAGTAGCACGTCAGGCTGCCAAACAGAGCATTTGCATTTGGGATCAGAGTTCAAGTTCCCAATTTGGTGTCTCAGTGCAAGAATTGGTGATTTTGCCTTGTGTCCTTCTCGAGGGACCTAATACTGCAATGAGATCCCAAAGGACTGACCCATCATCCACACTTAGCCCTGTTGGAATCAATGGGATCTTTGTGGATCCAGGATGCATTCATATAGAGTTTTCTACAGTTTTTGCTCCTTAGACTATGCAAAAGAACTTGTCTTACTTAACCAAGGACTAATACATTTTCCCCCTCAATGCCAGTATATCAGATAAACAGTATGGTGCTATGCCTTTAGTTCACACCTTCTAAAGAATTCTCTGTAATCAGCTAAGAAGCTGAAGCACAAATGTCCCTAAGCTTTAGAACATAATTAGTATCACAGAGATGATTTAAAGGATCAGAAAGAACTAATATCATATTCTCTAGAACATAATGCTATTTTGGTATAATTTATCAACTTTATAATTCCTAAAGTCATCTAAAAATGTGGCAAAGAAAAGCAAGCACAGATAGATATTGTAATTTGATTTGCTTATGACATGCTACAAGCATAAATCAAAAGCACATGATAATATGTCCTTGTATTGTTCATCAAGCTATTGTCCAAGAAGAGGTTGTGTGACTATGGCTCCTGTACTGCAGCACATATGCATATGAGTAACTTTCCACATAGGAAACAAAAGACAGAACTGTGTAGCACTTTAAAGACTAACAAGATGGTTTATTAGGTGATGAGCTTTTGTGGGCCAGACCCACTTCCTCAGATCAATATGTGGAAGAAAATTGGCACAACCACATATTGATCTGAGGAAGTGGGTCTGGCCCACAAAAGCTCATCACCTAATAAACCATCTTGTTAGTCTTTAAAGTGCTACACAGTTCTGTCTTTTGTTTCAGCTACACCAGATGAACATAGCTGCATTTCTATCACTATCATCTATAAAAACGTTCTCAATGCTGTACCTTGTAATTTAATGATGAATCTATATTTTCATGTCTTTCAAAACAAAACATACCAAGCACTCCAGATGACTTTGTATCCAGCCGGTGACCTACTCCAATTTTCAAGTGAGTGAAGTTTGGTCCTCTAACTACAAGGGAATGAAATATAATGTATGGTTTGTGGAATGGGCAAAAATTAATTTCACTATAAAGAAAAAAATATACCAAGCTTTTCTGAACAATATTGTGATGGTAACAGGCAATATATATGGTCCCAATACAATCTGATCTTGGTGATTCCACAGTGTTAAAAATCTTATGATTTATCATGTGCATAATGAAACCACTTCTAGTAAATCACTGCCTAAAATAGAATCAAAGTCTTCAATCTCTCCAATGGATTCTTGCTCTTCTCTCTACTATAACTGGGTTGCACTGCATTTATCCCCTTTGAATGCAGTGATTACCAGTGACCAGATAACCATTAGCTGCAGCAATCTAAGGGAATTAATATTTCTTATTCCTTTTTTACTCTGGGATTGTTTTCTCACTGGGCACACCAGCTTTTCCACAGAAATCAAGATTCTTCTCCAGCCTCTTACCTAGTGGGTGGGCAGCCAGAACAGGCAACTGGGTAACAGTAAGGGTCAGCTCTTTCCCAGCATTTCCTTCTACAGTGGTTGGCAGGAAGCGTACTTGCTGTGGCATATCTGGCTGTTTCAGAGAGTTCAGTTCTACAGAAATGGTTAAAAAAAACCCTTTTAATATTCTGAAAGTGTCTTATCTTGCAAGTAAGTTCAGTTAAGACCCTCGATAGTTTTCCTGAAAAACCATGGGGCACAGTCTGAAAAGAAAATACAGTGAAGGGGGATGACAAAGAATACCCTCCATGAAAGGATCCATAGATCACTGCCCTTTCCTTCAAATCCATTAGGCCATAGTGTCTACAAGAAGCTAACCAAATACTATTGGCAGAACTGATTGGCACATGCCAATTTGTTTATCAAAAACTCACTTTGATAGTGTGTTACATCTTTCTTCCCCCATCCTTCATTTTAGAGTGTGAGTTGTGTTAGACAGAAATTCTATCCTCCTGTGTGAACTGCACCTTCTGCATGGGAACTACTGGAATGAAAATAGAATTAAGATCTCTCAGACTTGGGTGTAATCTAGTCACAGGAACTTCAAAATGTATTTGCAACAATGAGCTGAGTCTTCATTTCATTAAACATAAATGGTAGGGCAATTTTGAGTGACCCATCCTTGAAAGTCCAGACTTAGCTTCTGGCAATTGGAAGTTTAGGGATGCCCAGAGGATGCCTTCTTGGATATTAGCCATGAATGGACCTATCTATGAACATTCATACTTTCTTTGAACCAAGTTTTACTTTTGACCTTAACAACATCCCAGTGCGGTGAACCATCAGATGTCTGTATTGTGAAGAAATATGCATCCCTTTTCCGGAAAGGGGTGCTAATGTAGACACAGCCTCTCTCTTTAAAGCCTGGTCTACACACACAGATTTAGTACCAGTATAATTGTTTTGGTTAGGAATGTGATTTTTTTATGGAAATAACTACCATTACTACATCTTGTGTGGATGCAGTTATACCAGTATAAAGGTGCTTTATACCAGTACAGCTTATTCCCCTCCCCATAGCAGAAGGAGTATTACCATTTATCTAAAGTGGCACCATTTGCGTGTGCAGAGAAGGCTCAAGTGTCTTTGGCTCATGATTACAGTCCTTCAGAGCGATGTACAAGTTCCATTTTCCATGTCAGGAAGCAGCATCTTCACAATCCCTGAAAGGTGGTGAGTGGGACAATATGCCATCTCTTTTGTGTTTGAAAGGAATCTAAGTCCTCCTAGGGGCTGCAATGCAAATTCCTCCTTGATGAGTAGACATGGATATAGCATATTCAGCAAAGAGAAGGGATTCCACATTTTAAAAAATATGTCTTAAGGGATTTCCAGCCTAGAGGTCGGAGATAGAGATTGGCCTCTACAATGGCTCTCTCAAGCCTGATATTTTTCTTTTCTAACAATATTCGTCTCAACCAGGATGTGTGTCATACAATGACTAATAGTCATTTTTACCAAACTGTGAGACATGCTTTTTGCTTTATTCTCTCTATGATGGGGCCTCAGTTTTCAAATGAACTCTCACAAGGCTCATTCTAGAGCTTCTGAACATGGGTCATCACAAGCAGCAAACCAACATAAGTTCCTTCAGGCTTTTAGAAAGGCCAGGACTATATGCGCTAACACAAGCTAACCATGGCCTGAACCATTAACACTAGGCCAAGTTGCCTGAAGGTGTAGAGAGAAGGACGACACTGTCAACTGAAAGATAGCCCCTATCCAAATGCTTATCCATTCTACAACTAGTTATGTCGTTAGGGATGCAGTTGCAGCATATTGGTGGGAAGACAGTTTGGAGCTGAAGGAAAGCAGAGGGGGCACTTGATCTTCTCAGAATTCCCTAAATCAGAGCCTCTTAATCTTTTCATGCTACTTAACCCAGTTCAGGAGTGTGATTTGTCTTGCACACCCCCAAGTTTCAACTCACTTAAAAACTACTTGCCTATAAAATTAGACTTGAAAATACAAGTGTTACAGCATGCTATGATTGAAGAAGTGCTTATTTTCTCATTTTTACCATATAATTATAAAAATAAATGAATTGGACTACAAATATTGTACTTACATTTCATGATATGATATACTAGAAGATTTACCCAGCATTGCTCTGGTCCTTAACTCAATGAATTTTTGTTTGTTGGAAAATAAAATGAAAATGTACAAGATTCATTTAAATCATTGCTTTGAAGTAAGGCTGGGGATGAGGGGTTCAGTATGCAGGCTGCCCCTGGGAGAGAGGACAACCCAAGCCCTCTCTCACTGCAGTAACTTGAGGCCAAGTGAGAAGTGCCTGTCCATGACCACTATAGCTCCAGTAGGCATAGCCATGGGAGAAGTGCATGTCCCCCAGGTGGGGCAGGTTCATCTACCCCATGCATTCTCCGGCCACAGTGAGAAATGCAGCATACTGTGCACTCTCCCCTTGCTCCCTGATGAAGGGGAATAGCCAGCAATGGTCCTATAGCAGTGATCACCAACCAATAGATCTACTGGTAGATCTTGAAGCCTGTGACACGTGATCCTGACTGGTTTGGTCAAGAGGCTATCAAATGTCAGCACTTCAACTGCCCCTCCTCAAAAAGCTGCACACCTCTTCCACCCTCACTCCTTCCCTCTCCTGCCTCCTTTCCCCAGTCTCACCAGAGTTTCATCCCCCCCCCCAGTTTTGTTAAATGGTGAGCCTGCCTTAGCCCCACTGCACCACCACCCAGGAGCCACCTGAGGTAAGCGGTGCCCCCTCAGTCGGACCCCACATCCCAAAACCCTATCCCAGTCATGAACCCCCCCTACACCCCAAGCCTCTGCCCTAGCCCCGAGCACCCCTGCATCCAAACACCCACCCAGAGCCTGCACCTAGAATCCTCTCAGGTAGTCCAACTACCTGCCCCAAACTCAGCTCAGAGCCCCTCTCACACTCCAGATCCCTTAATCCAAGACCAAAGCTTGCACCCTAACCCGCTGCCCCAGCCTGGTGAAAGTGAGGAAGGATGGGGGAGGACGGAGTGAGCAGGGGCGGGGCCTCAGAGAAGGGGCACAAAGGAGGCAGGGCCAGCGTGTTTGGGTTTGAGGTAGATCCTGGATTCCACTTAAATTCAAAAAGGGATCTCATGCTTAAAAAGGCTGGAGAACCCTGTCCTATAGGAATGGGGGGGAGGGGCTAAAGCCCTCCCCAAAGGATGCTGGACAGTAGGCAACTCCGGGCTGGGGCAATCCCAGATGGAGGGGTTATGCCCCAGCCACCTCCTTTCACCTGCTTGCTGATTTTGTCTCTTTTCTGTATGATTTTGAACCACAACCCCACTCTAGGCACATCCAAGCTGCCCTTGCTTTAAAGTTAAGATAAGAGGAAGCCACATAACAAATGCCGTGTTCCTAGCTCTTACCATGTAAGAGGAGTTATTGAACAAACAGACAAACTCTCTCAAATATGTAATAGAGCGAGCAATGGAAGCACATTGCTGCGGTGAGCGTGGACTGACTCTGCCAGTGCTTTTCATGTAGCCCGTTGTAAAATTTACTTTTTATATATCTATCTCATGCTTTAAAATTGTGTCGGCCGCCTCCAATATTTTAAATAGAGGCGAGGTAAAAATATTTTAAACAAGGCAAATACCTAGGTGACTTGATGGACCCAAAAACCTCTGGGGCCTCCTGGTTGAGACCCACTGCCCTAAATCAAAGGGGGGGGGCCGCAAATTGGAAATCTCCTCACCCCCCACCAGGGAGGAC